ATATTAGTGATCGAATACAGAGGGCGCTGGAAGAGAGTGTGTAGGGAAATAGAGAAGAATATAGTGGATATAGTCAAAATTATTGAAGCTTTTAACAAAGAGCAGCTAGGAGAGGATAATAGCAACAATCTCCCAGAACAGATTACAATTCGGACAATTGAGACACAATAGACTAAGGGAGAATAACAACAATCTCCCAGAACAGATTACAGCTCGGACAATGGAGACACAATAGACTAACCATACCGCAATCCTCAGACCCGCCTCAAAGTAGATCCCATGCCACAGAAATGTCCATTGGCTCCTTTTAAACAAACCAAACAACGGCAGATAGCCCTTAAACAGTGTCAGCTTATCAACCCAGAACATGAGCACCCAACTAGCTAATTTCACGTTAACAGACTAGACCTTAAGCCTCTCAAAGACCCCGAACCATAGGATCCCCACCGAACCAACCTTAGCACCAAACGCAGAACCTCATAAGGAAACCTATCAACTCAAAAGGAAGATTCACTAAAGCTGCAAAGCACCACCATACCCCCCTGAGGAATCCAAAATCCCTACGTCAACAGATACAGACACGGCTTACAAGAATAAGTAGATGAGCCAGGGCCAGGGTTATAGCAAGGACCACAACAAGTGTAAACCTCATAGAATTTAGTGCAAACAGAATTTAACACAAGCAGCCTTATCAGTACTAACACAAGAAGAAAAACAGGCAGCCGAGCAGCTGAGAGGCCAAACCGGAAGGAACACAAAAAATCAAGCCCCAAACACTAGAGCGAACGGAATTCCCGATTAGTAAAAGAAAAGAGAAAAGTAGCACAGGCTAACTTAGGCAGGGGCGAGGGGGGGTACATCCTTCCTGATGGAAGCAATCAATGCCGCCCCTCGGGCCTCCACACCAGAAAGGGGAGGAGCGTGAGTGTGTTCTCAAAAAAGGGGCAACTTAGAGGAAAGTAGTAGTAAAAACAGTCATCGGAGAGAAAGGGTTCACACCCCAAGCTAGACAGAGGAAGGGGGTTCAGGGTTTAGGGTTTTAGAGCTTAAGAACAGCACTTGTTTTACATTTTTAGGGGAACAAGTAAATCACAGCAGCATTACAGCTGAGGGTTCAAGGTTTAAGGTTTAGACAGAGACAGGACAAACAGGATAGGAAGTAAAGAAGTCTCCTCCTTAGGGCGCTGCAAGGACTCGTTAGTAGATGATGAGGGTTTCGGAGTGGGAATTTGACTTTGACGGCGATGTGCAGTTAATCCCCTCGATTGAGGGCAATCAATGATGCTCATCAGGTAATAGAGTGTGCCCGCGTGTCGGTTCGGTTGATCACGCATGTCTCATGTAGGACGGACACGTGGCATGTTAGCATGAATTCGGGATTGTTTTCAGATTAAAAAATAAATAAAAAATAAAAAAAGAGACAGGACAAACAGGGCTTAGGGCGTCAGAGATTTCAGAAAACTCATAGGCGAGCCAGATCGCTCTAGCATAACACACCAACCAGACAGCACCACAGCTGAGAGGAGCGGGACTGGGGTCAGACAGATTGGCAACAACCAGGCAGTCTAAACAGCACAGGCTAACTTAGGCAGGGGCGAGGGGTGGTACATCCTTCCCCAAGGAAGTAATCAATGCCGTCCACTCGGGCCTCCCAGCCATAACGGGGAGGAGTGTGCCTGAGTCTTCCATGTATTCCATTTTGACTTGCCGGGGGAATAGGAACTGGACTGTCGCTCCCCAGAATGGTAGGAGCCAGAACCAAGAGGTTCTGTTATTAAAAAAAAAAAGAAAAAAAAAAGAAAAAAAAAAGAAAAAAAAAAGAAAGAAGCATGCTTCATTATATATAGCGCAAAAGGAGGCTGGGAATCCCTCCACATCTCAACCCGGACGACTGGGGCCATTACCCAGATTAGGCTCATACCGGAAACCGGATCCAGTGCCCCTTTCTCCTGTTAAGCTACCTGCTATTCCTGAACAAAAGAAAAGACTGGATTAATCAAAATCAAAAGACAATTAGCAATAAAGGGAAGAACCCTCCAACCTGCCCCTAGGTTGCATTTAAGGAGCTGAAAGAACTGACTATCCTACCCCCCGGTTGGACTTCAGAAATAAAAGACTGAAATGAAATGGAAGAAATGGAACCCCTGCGGAGTGTCCCAACGTGCTGCCCCCTAAATCTCCCTCAATTTTCTTCTGCCCAACTTCTCCCTCCCCTCTCTCTTTCCTCCTGTCCTCACCATCAACCCTAAACCCTACTGCTGCTGCTCCTCTTTCCGTTTACCTCCGACACCTCCTCCTCTCTGACTCCCCAGAATCACTACCGTCTTCCCCCGAACAGAACGCATCCTTTTTTTGGCTGTATCTGGCTGGAAATATAGCTTGTATACATTCATTTTTAGGGTGCGTTATGTTCGGGGGAAGACGGTAGGCCCGAGGCCTGGAGTGTTGCAAAGGCCTAGAGTGTTGCAACTTTATCATTCCCCAGAATTCAGCATTCAACCTCTCCTGACTTTCCTTTCTTCTTGCCCACTTGAATCTTTCCCCTAGTCTTTACTAAGCCTCCTTGACTATTCGCTGCCTAATTTCCTCCCCGTCTTTCCATTCTCCATTTAAATACTAGTTTTCCTCCCTGAATACTGGCTACCGCCTCCTGCCCCAGCACGTCCTGTATGAAGTAAGTCCTGTATTCATTAGCCTGTTCCGGATGTTGCTGGCTTTGCCTCCTCACCCTCTTCCATTGTGCTCGCAGATCGGTTTCGATTTAGGGTGAGGAGTATCTCCTTTGCCTCCTGCTTGTGCATTGACCGCTTTTCGATGGTGATTTGGCATCTGCATTTCCAAATAGTCCAGAGGCTGTATTGCCTTATCAGTTGGAACATGTGCTTCTCAAATGATTGCCATTGGCTTGGGAGGTAGAGTCCCAGCAGTAGGGTGGTCCTGAATACCGGAAAGGGAACCCGTGAGAAGTAACTCCAGATGGTCTTGACTTCCTCCCAAATACTGTTCGCCTCTGCGCATTCCAAAAGGCAGTGCAACATTGTCTCCGGGGTCCCTGGTTGGCATACTGTGCACAAAGCGCTGGCCGGGTCGCTTTGGGACTGACTTCTTCTCTCGTTTAGCCATGCATTCATCGGATGGGCCACATGAGCTATTAGCCACTGCATACTTCTGACTCTGCCCAAGCGTAATGTGTTGATCAATGCCCATGGTATTTTGGGTAGTTGATTCGGTGGCACCCCTACCCTGTTCTCCCATCGCTTTGACAATGGTGCCGTCAGGGGGTGAGATCTCCTTCGCAGCCTGTACCCGATTTGAGTGGTGTAGTGTAAGATGTTGACCCTTCTGGTCACTCCTGTTCTTCCGACTCTGATGTTCCACGCCCATTCCCCTGGGTCCCCCTCCAGTTCTTCCACCGGTGTGGTTGGGCAGAATATTGTGGAGTCCTCTTTCTCTACCAGAAGTTGGATTGGTAGTTTGAAGAGTCTGCTCTGGATACGAAGCGGTAGGCTCTCTCAGGTGGAGCTTGGGAAATAAGTGTGCCCCAATCGCCTGTTTTCCAGGTGAATGCTTCTCTTAGGAGCGTTAACCACTGGGCAGGAATGCTGTGATGTATCGCTGCTAAGTTGATTTCAAGCGAGTGGCATCCCCTGAGGGAGGTTCGGAGTTCCTGGGCCGTCAACCAGTCCTTCCGTTCCACTGACCATAGGTGTTTGACCTGCCACACTCCTCTCTCCACCCATGTGATCCATCTCTGATTTGTTGCATGGAGAGACCAGGGGTGACCTGCTGTGTCTTTGATCCAAGGATTGCGGAAGAGGGGTTGTCTGAGAACCTCTTCTTGGCTATCCGCTGTTCGGCGCCACGCTTTTCGAGCGGACGTCCAGTATGGGTTAGGCGAGGGGGTGGGCTGACTGGTTGGTTGTTGTTGGGTTCTCCTTGCTGTCCTCCCTGTTTTGATTGACCATTCTTTGGCCATGATCCAGAAGGAGCCTTGCATATTGGGTGGGGTGCTTATTGGAGTGAGGTTCCTTAATTCCCAAGGGCAGTTTTGTCCATGGGAGGAATTGTTTGGTGAGAATCTTAATTATCCATTTCATCTGCAAAGCGATAGTTTCCTGTCTCGGGTCAATTATCCCCAATCCTCCTCCTGCCGTTTCCGGGTGACCGATTGCCAGGCCACCTTTTTTATAAAGGTAGTCTTGTTAGGGTCACCTCACTTTAAGAGTCTTGAGACCTTCGTCTACCATAGATTGGAGAATATTGACGTGTTTATGAGAAGTGCTCTGCCAAACAAGGATGCCTGGGCTTTCTTACACAGGGCTAGGCGGGTTATTGCCTTTGCGATTAAGTTCTGGCCCATCCCTGGCCATGTGCCGTCCTTGTTGACCATGACGCCCAGGTAACAAAGTGCTTGTCGCCCGTGGACCACGACATGGGAGTGGATAGGTCAGGGGAGTTGAGGCGGGGTGCTGTTTGTGAAGCACCAACCTTTGGTTTTGAACCAGTTTACTTTCATTTCTGATGCTAGTCGAAAGGGTTCCATGGGTCTATGAGGACCGTTAAATCATTGGCGAACATAAGTGTTGTGGGCAAAGCTAAGCCGTGTAGACGGTCATAGTTCTGCGTGATAAGGCGGTCTATAGACGGGTCTTTGCGGAGGAAGGAAGCAATGGCCTCTATGATGAACAGGAAGATAGGGGGAGATAATGAGTCGCCCTGACGGACGGATCTAGATATCGGATAAGCGTATGACGCTATCCTGTTTATCTGGACTGTGGCCATGGCATCCCCACATAGAACTTTGACCCATTCCCTGAACTTTGGGCCGAGCACTTAGACTGCATAATACATATATCGTCAAACCGAGCTTCCTAGTAAACCGTAGGCAGAGAGGAAGAAGGGGACAACAAATGAGGGGCTGTGACAAACTGTTTCGTAGGAGTTTCACTGACTCATCAGAAGACATATATATGCTAATAGGTGGACTGATGATGCCGTACCCGCATGTTACACCAAGCTGCATGCAGGAACGAGGTACGCAACAACACGTCTCGTCCTGCAAGATACGAAAAAGCAAACACCACATTCAGAATACCGATCATCATTAGTGTGACACACTTTGCCAAGTTAGACTGACTTTGACCTTGAGTTGACTTTGAGGGGACTTCGAATATATACGTTTTTTTTTTTTTGCTTCGAATAGAATTTGACATGAACTGAATTGAGATTAAACATTGCAATTTGGATTGAATAAAATAACTAGTTTCTCAAAGGGAAGGCAAAACTGTTGTATTGTTGGATCGACTGATATTCGCTGATGTTGGGGGCACCAGACGGGGTTGGTGTCCACTGAATCGGCTGGGGAATCGCAGCATCATGGAATGCTCGTGTCCATCATTCCAGAGCACGAACCTGCTCAGTAATGATGGGCAATACCCCCTCAACCCCGAGACTCAAAAAAAAAAAAAAAAAAAAAAAAAAGTCTGTGTTCGCGAGGTTTTCGCGCACGTTTGCATTTGCCGGCGAATGCGAACACGGTGTTATGCAGGTTCTAACATTCAACGTCTGGCAAGTCCTTTTCAAGTCTCACTTTAGAATGGGTTCTACTTGTGGAAGTTTAAAGCAAAGGGTCAAGAATTGGGCCCAAGAAAAATTCACATCCAAAACCAGGTTGCTTTTTTTTTTTTTTTTTTCAAACAAATGGACCCGGCACAGCGAAGGACGATGACAAAAACACTTTGCAAAACACCCCAGCCATCAGTTGGACCCCATCTTTGCAATGTACCCCTACCAGGCGCTGCCCAACTTTGCAAAATGCCCCAGCAGTTGCCAACTTTTCGTAGGTGAAGAGACAAGCTCAGGTTTTGCACAAATAGTACAATGACTCAAATGATGTGCAGCAATGACGGACCGTCGACGGTCAATAGGCTAAAACCGCTGGTACCTTTCCCAGGCAAAAAACAATTGCCCGCCGGTTAACACGGAGGCCGGCCCTGGGTGTGTGGGCCGGCCAGATGCATCCCAAATGCTCGGCGTGCAGGGCCCGCGGCCCACATATGGGAAAGGTACTGGCGGTTTAAACCACCAGTACCTCGGCCATATGTCGGCAGCAGGAAAAAATGAAGAGGAGGCGTTTCGACATGGATGAATTTTGGCGCTCCAGTCCAGGCCCGTTCATCCCCAACCGCGCCAGGGCGCGTTACCCGCCACGGCTGTCGGAGGTACTGGCGGTTTAAGTTATGGCTCCGTCTTTACTCGGAACAGTGAAAGAAGATGTGCTCGCTGGCAAACGAAGATGGCTATGGACATCTGCACTTGCCGGTCGGTCCTCGTGAACAAACGCAATCCTTCTCTGGGAAAGGCCATCTTCTGGATCCTCGCTAAGGACTAATAGTGACAAACATTATTCAGATGATAGAGGGAAAGCCAGACTCATCTATGGGAAAGGACATTAGACAGACAGGCTAGACAATGGAAGACAATAAAAGGACAGCCTCACCTTGTTGAAAAAGGGCGGTCTTGAGTACAGGTGCATTGCTCTCCTTGGCTTTTGTGCCCAGTCAGAAGGTAAGCCAACCCTGTCCCACTGCACACCACACGTCAGTAGTCAGCAGTCCGGTACGTACCGCAGAACTACTCGGGGTAATCAATATAATTGTTCATTGCTAATGCGTAGAAAGTACTAGAA